CTCTGCTCCTATGATGCTGCTTGGCCTGCTGTGTTCATCCAGCCCTGCACCTTGTTGTCTCGGATTCTCCAGCATCTGCAGTTCCTACTATCTCTCCTTCAGTATAACCAGTTCATTTCTGCTGAAATGTTTGTGAGAGTAGTATTTCGTTGCTAAGGTGGATCTTTCTTCTGTTCGGTGTCCATAAAGCTTCGTTGATAAATAAGTGGACGCACAGAATAATCACCCACAAGATTTGCAGCAATCCGGTGAAGGGATTCAGTGTGGAGTGGCTCATTCAGAACGTACTGCCTTTTTAGAGTGCAAATCCTGCATGCGTGGATTCCTTACCTGTTTCGTTAAAATTCCTGGGGAAAACGGAAGCTGTCAGTGTTAGTATGTCTTCTTTACAAGTCAGTCTTTTGGAGACACCTGAAAGAAGCATTCATAAAGAAATACTTTATAATTAAAGAGAGCTACAAACATCAGAGAGTGTTGTGTCCTTGTTTAAGGGATAGAAGGGATTTACTCTTATTCATAGCAATCAATGGTTAACATTGTCAATCATTGGTTTCATTCTGAAAGAGGCTTCACTGTATGTTTTGTTGCGAAAAGATTCTCGCTGTAATCATTCTAGAAACACCAGCTTTTATGTCATTGAGTTACACCAAGATAATAATTTCCTTCCTCCTCTCTGTCCCAGAGCCAAGCAATGAGGATAGTGCGAACTGTAGGCCAAGCCTTTGAGGTGTGCCACAAGTTGAGTCTGCTGCACACTGAGCAACCTGCAGATGGAGAGGATGACCAAGGAAGTGAAGAAAGTGCTGACAACAGCAGTGCCCCAGGTATGACATTTTAATTATCTTTGACATGTTCCTTTCGAGGGGAAACTATTGTTTTAATCTCACAGCCAGAGTAACAGCTATAGGTAAGCGTGGTAACCCACAACTGAATTCAAAGGAACGGAAGGATGAAATCCAGTAATTATATGTTCATCTTAAGTGGAAAAACTTGATATTCAGACTTAACCAGTCCACTTGCTGATCTGATGGTGTTTCGTCTCTTTTTTCTTTGAATAACTCTAAAGATCCCAATGATTTACAAGCCCCTCGATAGCAGAACTCTAGCCTATGTCTTCACCTCCAGTCACAAGCTTCATATCCTTACTGCAGGTTCCAGCCACCTTCTACTCACTGTCTTAGCCCCTCTCCTATTTGACCTTAAGCAGAGTCTCTGACTTCACATCCTTCCTTTGCAAAGACTACAAACTTCCCGGAACTCTGGAATTTTGTGGGAGGGGTGTAAAATTCAATGAATGTCTTTCTCGCCACCACCTACCCGTCTCTCCCTCTCCCTCCCTCTATCTCTCTCTCTCTTTCTCTTCCCACCACCCCCATGGACTCTGATGTAACAAGTGACCTGCCCACTCTAACTGGCTCCTCCGGCCTAAGTTTAGTGGCTTTTCTACTTGCATTGCCACCGCTGCCTGAATTTGATTCACAAAATATTCCCAGAACAGCTGACTGTCCTGAATTTCCTACATCACTCGCAACAAGATACGTTCGATGTAGGAATTCCTGTGGTGTTCGACTGGGCATTGTTGGGTGCACATTGCCAACAGTGTAATAGAAACATGAGTGTTGTGTGGTGTTGGCATATCTACCTCATTAGTTCTTGCAGCACATCAACTAATGACAAAAAATTGTCTCTTTGTCTGTTTCTAAGACCGGCAGGTTGTCATTCACACTGGTGTCTCAAAACTGAATTTTTGTCTAAAACCAAGCTCTGCCTGGGCTTATTTTTGGTCTGTTGGGTTGTTCATCATGCGTCGAGGTTTAGATCATTTGAGAGTTATGTAATTTGTTTAAAATTGTAGCATTCACATTTTTTGACTCCCACTAGGACTCCTAAATGATTTCTTAAGTTTAAAAACGAGCTATTGAATGTCAGTTCATGTTTCTTGTCATGCAGTTTGCGTTAAAAGTGTGACCTTTAAGCTTGCAGAATTAATGAGGTGCGAGCATTTATTCCCAATCAGATGCATTTTATTCTGATAGGGCAACCCTTACAATAGCCTTGGGGCTGGATTTTACAATACACCTCAGTCCCTGACAGCCTGGTTAAAAAGTTAGTGGAGAGCCCGTCCATTATAGCAATTGCTACCCCTCAGCAATTTAGTGCTGGCAGCCATATTAATCAGTTCAAATTGAAACTTGCCTAGAGACAAAGTGCTGAAATTCAGATGGCTAGCTGCTGTATCATCCCAGTTGTGCCAGACTGGCTTGGTGTTAGTCAGTTTTCGGTCTAACCTCAGACCAACTGAATAGGGGGCAGTGTATAAATCTTGGGATTTGATAAGAGACAGGTAGAGGAGGCACTATACTGACATTATTTGTTTCTTCTCTGTGAAAGAAAACATCTGGCTATACACGATAAGTGACAAGAAGCTTTGTGTTCACAGGAATAGAAAATATATTTGTGTTATATCAGTCTCCATCTACATACACCTTGCTGGATTGTGCTTTCATCTTTTAATGCAAAATTCAAATTGGGAAGCACAGGACCTGTAGAAACCAGAAGATAGTGTTACATGCAGCCCTTCAGGCGCTAATGTCAAAAGGGCATTTCCTGTTTAAATGCCCATTTACATAGTGTACATTTACATAGTTGATTAATTCCTCCTTTTGCAGGCACTAATCTGTTTGTTCATCTGAACAGGGCAGACTAATACCTGGCTGTTTACTGACTGCTGGACACCAGCCAGTGTAAATATTCTGGTTCAGTTGCTTAAAAATTGGACTATTACAGTTCATACAAAACATCATTAATCTGAATAAAGTTGTTATCCTACAACGCTGTCTATCTTAAAATGGCCCCCAGTGTGTTTTATAATTATGCAAATTGAACAAGTTGGTCCCTCTCAAGGGTTATGCCCAATGGGTTCTCGTGCCAGTTACTATTATCATTAAAGAGTTTTGCGGCCAGCTCAATTCACACTGGTTATGAGGGCAGGGAATCAGCATCAGGGTGGCGTTGATCAAGGGGAGGGCTGGAAGACAGGGGCAAGGGTAGCAGAGTGAATTGACAGAGCAGTTTAGTTCATCAGTGGAGAAATTCAAATGTTCACAGACAGCAGTGGGAATCTCGTGCTAATTTACCCGCACGGCTCAATGAACGAAAGGAATAGGGACACCAGGCAGTTTTCAGCTTCCACATACTCTCTAAATAGCACTTGAAATAGAATAGGCTCCGCACATATACCCTGTACTGTCAGATTTGTGGGCACTTTGAGGCAGTAGTGTTGATTAGTGTGTGGAGATCATTTGACTCTCTATTTTCAGTCAGCCCTGTTCAATCCTAATGATTCCGACAGCAATGTTAGCTGCATCAATCAAAGCCATCTGGAATGATGCAGGGGCCAACCTTCAGAGGCAGGTTGCCATTTTTCTTCGCTTCAGTCTTTCTTCTGCTGCCTGTTTACAGGTAACCAGGGAATAGCAGCTCCATGTGTGTGAATTGAGGGGAATAAAATCTGTACTGCAGTAAAAGATGAGGCGCTCACTTGGGAAATCTTTCGGCTGCAGGTCCTGTCGACAGCATTGGGTCTAGGTAGTGGCTCTTTTTGTTTTTTTTTCAATAAAAAAAAGCTATAGATTCCTATTTCTAGATACACCTCTTGTACATCTGTACATACATTTCTTTAGGTGTCAGTCCTGAATGCTGAGTATCCATTGCTTGACCTAACATTGGGTCAAAATGTTTTTCCCTTCGAAGGTGGAGCATTAGTCCCTAAAATGAGCTTTTGGTGGGCACCCAGACCACAAGGAGGTCCAGTTTTCCATCCTTTTTACATTTTATTTTCATCAGATAATCACCATTCTCCAAATGTACTCGTTTGTCTTTTTATTCTCCATTCATGCTGTTGGTGTGTGTTGGTTTCTGGATGTCTCAGAATGACTAATCCTTTGTGTTGCTTTGTGGTCTGTACCAGCCCAACGGCTCACTGAGGCAGAGAAAGAGGCTTCAGAGGAGACTGATATAGATGCCATCGAACCGCCCCTGCATGATGGCTCTGAGGCCGATTTTAGCCGAGGTGTGACTGACTTGGATGCAGTACGCAAGGAGCAGGATCTTCACAAAGTCAAAAAGGTAATTTTCAAGCTGTCCTTTCAGCCAGCCAGTTGTTTTGCCTCCTTGAAGGGTAACTCTCTTCATGCTTGGATCCATGGAAACCATATTCCCCCCTCGAGAGCATTCATTCCTGGTGCTAATCCTCTTATAATGCATTTTGCTGCTATTTTGAAGCAAAATCATTCTGCTTCACATCTGCAAAAACGACAAGCATGCATAATCCCATTAGTTGCAAAATTTACAGAATGGATGATGCTTAGTTACAACGTAAAAACATTTGGTAAATACTTCTGTGCTGTGTTTATCCACTCACTATGCAGGGCCTGGGGAGTGTGAAGTGTATTGTGAGACTGGAGCTCCTAGATACCAAGACAAACGCCACAACAAACATGTAGGCAGGCAGGATTTTCATAAACTCTGTGCTTATCTTGTGCTGTTATGTCCTCCATCCCTCAAAATAGGAAAAGGGTCATTTCCAAGACTTTCCAATTCTATTGGCTCCCCTGGAATATGAAAATGTACGTGGATGTGGACAAGAACCTGTGATGCTGCTGTAGTAGAATAGACAGCTGAGACTTGAGAATTTTCTCTTAATATCAGTTAGAAAATGTAGATTCGGACACCTGGGCCTGTGCTGGGATGAATGAACTGTCCTCGCGGGAAGGGCCAGTAAAATGAATAGTAGCTGGTGTAGATCGGTAACACTGTAACAATTCAACAGATTTAATCAGAGATAGTAGGAAATGCCGATGCTGGAGAATCTGAGATAACAAGGTGTAGGGCTGGATGAACACAGCAGGCCAAGCAGTATCAGAGGAGCAGGAAGGCTGACGTTTCGGGCCTACACCCTTCATCAGAAATGGTCTACATCTTGTTTACAACAGATTTAATGATTCATTTTACCCTTCAGTCACAATCTCTTTTTCGGGAGAAAATTTGAATGGAACATCCAAACTCTGCAGGATGTGAAAATTCTCTTTTTTTTTGTAAAGAGGCTTGAATCATGTTCCTATTATTTAGCTCCATTTGTTCCATCTACAATAATTGAGCATAACAACAGAATGTCATTTGGCTCAGTGTGCCTGTGCTGGCTGTTTTGAAAGTCAACCAGTTAGCCCCAAAAATCGATACTCATCCCCTCCCCCCTCTCCACCACTGCTGGAATGTATTTACACAACTCACTGGTAAGTCTGATCCTCCTAAATGTGACAATGGGTTTCAGACCTCCAGCTAACTAATGTGAAGAAGATCCTGAAACGTCAGCCTTCCTGCTCCTCTGATGCTGCTTGGCCTGCTGTGTTCATCCAGCTCTACACCTTGTTATCTCTACACACAAAGACCTGTCGGCTTAGCCTAGTGATAATTTGGACACTTAAAGACAATGGACTGAAAACTTGTGTGAAGTATTTGTTTTATTCATTTATGGGACAAGAGTGTCGCTGGCTGGGCAAGTAACTTTCCCCATTTATTGCCCATCCCTAGTTGCCCAGCGACAGTTAAGGATCAACCACATTGCTCTGGGTCTACAGTCACATTTGGTCCAGACCAGGTAAGGATGGCAGTTTCCTTCCCTAAAGGACATGGTGAGCCAGATGGGTTTTTCCAACAATTGACAATGGATTCATGGTCATCATTAGATTCATAATTCAAGATTTTTGTTGAATTCAAGTTCCACCATCTGCTGTGATGAGATTTGAACCCGAGTCCCCAACACATCACCCGAGTCTCTGGATTAACAGTCCAGTGACAGTGTCACGGGAATTAATGAACCTATGCAGCTCAACTGATTCAATTGACTGAAAATTGCTGTCTCCCTTATTTTACTGGGGCATTACTTTGGTTTGTTTTAATCTGGTTAATGCCCCTTATTAAAAGAGCAGAGTGCGAACCCTAAGTGTTCAGATGCTAGAATTTAACCACGTTGATGTCTTGTGCTTCAGAAGTCTCTCTCGCAATAATTGCAAATAGTGAAGTAGCAGGAAAGGAGGCTTTTCAGAACAGCACATAATGTTCCATAGGTTCCCTCTCACTGTTCTATTTGGTCCTTAACCACGAGCAAAGTGGATGCAGCGCACTCAAACTCTTTTAATGAACAAGTGGGCATACAAACAGAATTCAATTACAGTTCAGAAGGGTAAAACCTCTTTGGGATAATTGACAGTTATAAGTAATGCCGAGGGTGTTTTTATTTATTTGCATACAACAATCAGTCTAAGTATTTGCTCTCTGCCACTGCATTTCGTCCGATGTTCATCACCTCCAACAGACTAGATAAAATACAGCTGACAGTAGAACGCCATTTATAACATCCGCAAGCTTCTGAGGCTGGCATTATCCCACAGTCCGTCCGCTAAGTAATCCCCTTGGAGCTTCCGTGAATCATGAGACCACCCTGCCCTGCTGGGATATTATTGAAGATACATGTCAGTAGTTGGTGATTTACACAGCACTAAGAAATGTTGCCTCCAGCAGTGGTGCTTTCCTGATGTTAACAGAACTTAGTTTATTGTCGAGAACTCAATATAACCTACATCAGATTTTTGTCTGGCTCTGCTCCTCTGAAGTGCCTTGGGATGTTTTCCAACATTAAAGCTACTAGATAAATTCATGCTGTTGTTTGCAGTGGCCTATGTATATAGAAGTCTATAGAAGGCAACGGCAAACTTTCAAGGAACACATGGGCAGACTGCAGCAACTGTTTACTCCTGTCTGTCGCAAAAGCAAAATGGATAAGAAGGCCAATCCATGGCTGACAAAAGAAATAAGAGATAGTATCCAATCCAAGGAAGAAGCATACAGATTGGCCAGGAAAAACAATATGTCTGAGAATTGCGAGGAGCAAAGAAGGACCAAGGGATTGATCAAGAAGGGGAAAATAGAGTGTGAAAGTAAGCTTGCAGGGAACGTAAAGACTGATGCTAAGAGTTTCGAAAGGTACATGCAAAGAAAGAGATTGGTAAAGACAAAGGGGACAAAGAAATAGCTGAGGAACTGAATATGTACTTTGATTCTGTCCTCACAAAAGAAGACACAAATCAGGCACCAGAATTGTTGGAGGATGCAAGATTTAGTGAGGAAAGCACTGAGGGAAATCAATATTAGTGGAGAAACGGTGCAGGGAAACTTGTTGGAATTGAAGGCCAATAAATCCCCAGGACCTGTTAATCTACATCCCAGAGTACTTAAGGAAGTAGCTCTAGGAATAGTGGATGCTTTGGTGGCCATTTTCCAGGATTCTATAGACCCTGGAACAGTCCCTGCAGATTGGAGAGTGGCTAATATCACTCCAATGTTCAAAAAGCGAGGTAGAGAGAGAACAGGCAATTATAGACCGGTGAGTCTAACATTGGTAGTGGGGAAAATTCTCGAATCCATAGTCAAGGATTTCATAGCAAAGCATTTAGAAAGCAGTGGCAGGATCGGACAGAGTCAGCGTGGATTTATGAAGGGGAAATCATGCTTGACAAGTTTGTTGGAATTCTGTGAAGATGTAACTAGTAGAGTTGACAAGGGGGAGCAAGTCGATGTAGTATATTAGGACTTTTAGAAAGCGTTTGACAAAGTCCCACATAAGAGATTAATGTGCAAGATAAAAGCACATGGCATTGGATGAATTGCATTGAGATGGATAGGAAACTGGTTGGCAGAGAGGCAACAAAGAGTAGGAATTAATGGGTCCTTTTCATATTGGCAGGCAGTAACTAGTTGGGTGCCACAGGGATCAGTGCAGGGACCCCAGCTATTCAATATATATATTAATGATTTGGATGAGGGACCAAAATGTAACATCTCCAAGTTTGCAAATGATACCAAGTTGGGTGGGAGGGTGAACAGTGATAAGGATGCAGAGATCCTTCAGCATGATCTTGACAGGTTGGGTGAGTGCCCAAACGGCAGATGCAGTATAATTTGGATAAATGTGAGGTTATTCACTTCAGAATCAAAAACAAAAAGGCAGGTTACTACCTGAATGGCTGTAAATTGGGAGAGGGGGGAGTGTGCAGCGGGACCTGGGTGTCCTTGTGCACCAGTCGCTGAAGGTAAGTATGCAGGTGCAGCTGGCAGTAAAGAAGTCAAATGGTATGTTGGCCTTCATTGAGAGAGGTTTTGAGTACCGGAGCAGGGATGAGTTGCTGCAATTGTACAGGGCCTTGGTGAGACCACACCTGGAATATTGCGTACAGGTTTGGTTCCCTTTTCTGAGGAAGGGTGCTCTTGCTCTCGAGGGAGTGCAGCGAAGGTTTACCAGGCTGATTCCGGGGATGATGGGACTGATGTATGAGGAGAGATTGACTGACTAGGTTGGGATTGTTTTTGCTAGAGTTCGGACGAATGAGGGGGGATCTCATAGAGACTTATAAAATTCTAACAGGACTGGACAGGGTACATGCAGGGAGGATGTTCCCAATGGTGGGTGTGTCCAGAACCAGGGGTCACAGTACGAGGATTCGGGGTAGACCATTTAGCACAGATCAGGAAACATTTCTTCATCCAAAGAGCGGAGAGCCTGTGGAATCCATTACCACAGGAAGTAGTTGATGCCAAAACATGGAATGTATTCAAGAGGCAACTAGATATAGCACTTGGGATGAATGGGATCAAAGGTTATGGGGAGAAAGCAGGATTAGGCTACTGAGTTGGACGATCAACCATGATCGTGAAGAATGGCAGAGCAGTCTTGAACGGCTGAATGGCCTCCTCCTGCCCCTATCTTCTAGGTTTGTATGTTTAAGTCTTTTTCCAAAAAACCTTGGAAATAGAAAACACTGAAGTTTGGCAAATGCTGTCCCCCATGAACAAAGAGGGAAAGGGGTCAGGCAGGACATTGTGTACCTCAAGTTGTTTTAATTTTATCTTGCTTGTAGGTACATTTTGATAGCGACCCTCGCTAACAGCAGCTGGAGAATGTAGTTGTGGCCCTGTTTCCCACCTGTGTTTCTATCTAAGAAGTCTTGAGGAATGTCTCAGTTTATGGGCTGAATTTTCCCAGGCTATGGGGGCACAAGGAAATTTCAAAA